GACATATGAGTGTGGAAAAGAGATGGACATTAGATTAGTATTATGTCAAGTTGGACCCAGTTAATACTCTCTTAATGCCTCCAGACCAATGAGGCATGCTCTTACGAAATTATCTGTTGTAGTGTGTTGTTGGTTGAACTCACAGTTTGCCCTTGATGAAATACAGTGATCTCCCTTCTGTCCAATCTCCCCTCTTTCTTGCTTACTTGAGCCCTCCTATCATAACTCAGAAGTGAAAAAACACAGAAAAAGGTCAAAATGGATCCATGAATCCTAATTCCTAAGTAGAAAGGAAGCCTATCATGTGGCTCAGTGTCCATGTTGAAACAAAAAAAAAAACTTTTCGATTTATTTTTTTCATTTTTGAAATGTGGAAAGCATGTCTGCATTTATCTGAAAGTGCTTTTGGCAAACACAGCTTGTTGTTTATTTTAACTTTTGCCACGTGCTTTGAGGCAAATTATAATTAATACTCATGTTATACAAACAACACTCAAAATTCACTGAAAATTACTGAACAGACTTGAATATAAAAATCACTTGTATCAGCTCACTTTTACTAAGCTTTGTTTATAGTCTACTTTCCGCCAATAAGCTTTTACAAACTAAAACCAAAACGCACACTTGGCAAATTGTTGCAAGACAACCTTTTTCTATTAGACTCATCAGGCTTTGAAGACTTGGCCTCTCTCTCTACATCCTCAGGGGAATGAATATCATCAACTACAGCTCCGCCGCCATCACCCTTTACATGTCCAGGGATACCATCACTGGGAAGTGTAATTCCCTGTAAAGAGGGATGTAATGTGTGTTGGAAGATGTCATAAGCTAAGATATCAGTATCCGTACATGATAATGCAATATGCGAAGGGAAATCGGCAGATACCTTAGCAACAACTTGTGCAAGATCTTCAGATAGAATCACAAGCGTCTCTATGACATTTCCACTAGTTACATTTGCTTCCTTACTCCCCTTCTTGACCATTGTTGCTTTCTTCAAAACAATCGCTATCCCAATAGGCATGGAAATAAGTCACTCCAACCCAGTGTCTAGTTTTGTAAGCAAAATATGAAAGTTTCTCAATGTGCAGTATTGGACTTCAAGATATTTGATGGAACCCACTCTTGATGGTGGAGGAGATCCAATGGCTCCACACATATGGAGAGCCACTAAGGATCCTTTGGTAACCAATTGTGCTCCACTTTATGTCACTTACTAAAGTGCTTTATGCATTAAAAAGTTTTTATTAGTCATTAGATCAATCAAATTGAGTAACCCATAGAGTACACCACATTTGTTGACCAAAGAAGCCTGGCTAATGTGCTCTTTAATATATAAATCCTTCACAAAATACTCCGTTAATAAGGCCAGTACACATAATTAGCAAGCTAAGAACCCTGATGCTCTAAATCGAACAAACAATTAAACTTAATTATTCTACGTAAGGGATTGTTACATCCATCTAAGTGTGAATCTTACCAACTGGATAAGAAAAAAGAAATTGAAGTTCTACCCCCTCTTAGTGAAGTAAGATCAGATAACAGAATGGTCAAATCGAAAACAATTTGAGCTGACAATAAAATCTATATGTAAGCATGATTAAGAAGATCCAATAAAGGATTTCAGATGCTAATGAAACTCACCATAGTTGTTGTCTACACAAGCAGTGTGGAATATACCAGAATAAATAGAGCCATCCTTCACATGAACATCAACCGGAAGGCCGACGATGCACATTGTGGTGAGCAACAAAACGTCGGAGACGGCGGCGTTTCCTTCCTCTGCAACTCCTCCTTGTCTGCAGCCCATATCTGATGATCACTCCTGAATAAAATTTATTTGTATATAAATGTATTTATATATTCTTATAGGTTTGGAACATAAATAAAATCAATTATGTTGGTACGAGGTGGAAGTTTGCACAACTATACGAGGGGGGATCCAAACGAACTAGCAACTCTATTAGGAAGTACGGACTACGGAGTACTAGGTATTTTGATATTTTGATTATTTTCCATTTCTTTTTTCGAATTTGGGAAGTTGGAAGTTATGGTGAATCAGCCCACAAAATGGTGAGTTTTGTAAATTGTAACTTCCACGTTAGTACTGTGAGTTTTGAATATGTTTTTACTCAGACTGGAATTTACTATTGGATGAACTAGTCTGGTCTAAACTGCCTTGGTCTGAGGTTGTTAAATGTCCCACACCGGAAAAGTTTGGATGAACAAAGTGCTATATTAACACATGGGCTACTCCTCTTATCAGGTTGACCTTTTAGGATGAAACCCCGTGTCTTAACATGGTATCAGAGCCAAATCGATCCATGGTGTGGGGCCCCTTATGAAAAAATGACAATTATGGCCGGATGAAAAAACGGACCAATGAAAAAAAAAAGGCAAAAGGGTCAAATAGGCCCCTGAACGTATTTGAATTGCGCAATTCGCACCCCGAACCCAAATAACCTCCGATCAGGCCCACCATCCCCCTTTTTTTGTTCAAATCCTACATCTACCCGGTTACCTCCCGTTTTCTCCCCTTAAATGCCCAGTCAGCAAGTTTTGCCCCAACTCCCTTTAAACCTACATCTCATTGAACGCTGACTCATTAAATACTCCATCCACCCATATTCGACCATTAAAAGCTGGAGCAGGTTGCGTAAAAGGTAGAAGGACATGGCGGCTTCATCGTCTTCTTCGCTGGGAAGGAAACTGAGTGCGTATGACCCGAACTGTCTGTGTGGTGTCAAAGCTCGCTTGTGTACAACCCGGGAAAGTGGGCGGCAGTTTTATGGATGCCAAAGATGGAAGGTATGTATTTGTGAATTTGATCTGGTAATACAAATGAAGTAGGGCTTTTATGGGGGCTTGTGTTAGTATTTATGTTCTTCGTTTAAGCCACATAAATTGGAAAGAGGCCGGTTCTGGTAGAATTTGACCTCGAAAAAAACTAGTTTAAAAATTGGTTTAAAAATTTTGTTATTCGTTTCTTTTATAATACAGAAATTGGTTTGTGTCATTGTAGGACGGTTTAGGCTGCGGATATTTTGTATGGAAAGAGGATTTAACAGGTTTGCATGAAGAAAAAGAAGCATACATGGGGGTCCCTGGCTCAAAGGAATGCTCAAATCGTGACCTGAAAAGGATGATGTTAGTGATGCAGCGTGACATACAAACCATCAAACTGATTCTTGAAAGTGAAGCTAAAGAGAAGTTGTTTTGGAAGGGAATGTGTCAAGGGGTTGTGATGTTTGTTGTTGCAGCTCTCATTCTTAAGAAATTGTAATAGATTAGTGGGTTTGTTAGTTTTCAATGTACTTGGACCTGTTTAACAATGGAGTAAATGAATGGAGCTTTGTTACTTGTGTATTGACTTATGTAAATATCTGTGTTGATTTTTAGAACTTGTAATCACATTTACAATGACAAACAACCATTTGATCAAAGCTGTCAAATACTATCATTAGGATAGAGGAAAAATAAGCCACAAAAAACCCATCCAAAACATACTCCATACTCCTAATCCGGACAGCCCATCAAATACCCTACACCTTTACCCTTTTCCATAAAAAGTGATAAAACCATCTGTCAAAAGGACTCCAATAATGCAGCCTAATCAACTCCCTGTAAAGCATACCCATCAGGCCATCACCCATGTGAAAAAAGCCAAAGCCATGTGAGTAAAGTGTGACCTGCAGCAAAGAATAAACCCCACCCCACCATGTTCCATCTGGTTTGAATAATGGACACCCAATACGAAAACAATAATGCCAACTTCATTACCCCACCATCACATGTACTAACACACAAGTACATAAGTGCACAATAGCCCAATTTAACAAAGTCAACAACCACATTAAATATTCCAAAACATAACAAGTTTGACAAGCAAAATACGAAAGAGTAGCCTTACAAATATTACATACACCCAATGTAAAACAATAGCTGCAATAGTATAGTTTTAAACAGCATTTTGGGCCAAAACATTATAGCAATACATTTTCAATAATTAAACCATATCTTCAGGTTGTCCTCTTCCACCCCTCCTGGATCCACTCCTCCCAGCTCTTCCAGATCTCCCACCCCTTGCACTTGTCCCTGCAGTTCCACCCCTTGCAGTTATGCCACCCCTTCCACCCCTCCCAGCTCTTCCACCCCTTGCAGTTGTCCCACTTCTTCCACCCCTTGATGATGCCTGAGTTGGTGCTGCAGCAGTAGTAGGACACTTGTGCCTCTGGTGCCCCTTTTGATTACAAGTGGAACATGTCATGATCCTGCCCTTTCTTGAAATCTTGCCTGCTGGAGGCTCACTTTCCTCGCGGGTCCTCTTTTTCTTAGGCCTGCCAGTCATTTTTTTAGGTGCAGGGGGGTTTATTTTCTCTCCACCCACCTTAGGCCAAGCCATCTCTCCATTGATTGGGTCCAAAGAGTATGAATAAGTGCGCTTGAAGGAAGCTACAGAGTAACAGTCATCAACATAGTCTTCAGGATCTTTTCCCATGTCAAACATAGCACAAATAGCATGTTGACATGGAATTCCAATCAACTCCCAAGATCTGCAAGAACAGGTGCCTCCCTCCACCTTAACCTTGTACTGGTACTTTCCTTTCTTAACTTCAAACCCATCATCTGCATTGAAAATTACACGCCATTTTGAACTTTTCATGATGTTGGCATTCAAAATCTTCTTCACATTAGGACACACCCTTCCTTTCCATCTAACTGCCAGCTCCCTTTTTTTTGCAACTCTCTGCATCATTTGAATCCTCATATCCTCTAGCATGGGTATGATTGGTTTGCTCCTACAACCAACAAGTGTCCGGTTAAAGGCCTCTGACATGTTATTGTCTATAGAGTCACATTTCACACTCGTCCTTATAAATGCCTTGCAGAAGTTTTTGAGTGGATATTTTTCCAAATCTGATTTAGCTCTAGGGTCCTTTTCGTGTAGAGCTTGTAGCCACTCATCCAGTTGTGCTTGACAGGTAGACCTAGCACACATCCAAAACAGTTGCTTCATATATTTCCCCCGGTGTGTCTTGCTCCAATTAGCATGGATGTGCCTTGCACAATTGCGATGCTCAGATTGAGGAAGTAAGGTTTGGATGACATTGAGTAGCCCCTTCATGTAAGTTTAAATTCATGTTAGTAAACTGATATGTACAAGTGTTAATAGTAAGTAAGTTTGGATGACAATAAGTTTACTAATAACTTTAAAGTCATATTAGTAAAGTGATATGTACAATTGTTAACAGTAATTAAGGGTTGGATGACAAGAACTGTACTAATAACTACTACAAGGAAGTAAGGTTTGGATGTCATCACCATTATTTATTACATTATGCAATACCCAGGAAGTACATGTTACCAAATTTAGTGTTTTAGAAGCTTCAATGACTTAAAAAAGTTCATGTCATTGAAGTGTTACCATGACTTGTAATCTGTATGTGTGATTGAAAAAGTAAGTGTATCTAATGACAGTATTTGATAGTGTGATTAAAGTAATAACATGTAAGACTATTAAAATTCAGTAACACTATTTGACAATGTCATTTAAGTAATAAAATGTAATTGTATTTTAATAAAATGTAATTATATTTACCTTTTGTTGATCGCTTATGACAGTCCAGGGAGAGGTATCCACAATTTGAAGATCTTCCTTCAACAGCTCTATAAACCATGACCAGGATGAGGTATTTTCAATCTCAACAATTGCCCATGCAATAGGGTACATGTTGTTGTTTGCATCCCTTCCAACTGCTGTGAGTATTTCTCCCTTCAATAAGCCTTTTAAGAAACATCCATCTAACCCAATTATCTTTCTGCAGCCTTCTAAGAAACCCTTTTTCATTGGACCAAAGCAGCAATAAAATCTCTGGAAGAAGCATGGGCCATCATCAACTACTGTGGAAGTCATGATCTTGATGGTACTGTTGGGAATAGAATCCAGCAACTCTTGAGCGTAATCTCTAAGCCTGTTAAACTGTTCTGCAAAGCTGGCATTTATTCTCTTCTTAATGCCTCGTACAGCCCTCCTCACCATGCTAAATGAAACATGAATGCCCAGTTCAGCCTCTATGTGCTCCTTTAAGGCCACATACCCAATACAGGGGTCATCTCTAACCTTATCCTCATATTTCTCTTCTATCCATTTTTCAGACACAACTCTCAACTTGAACTTTGGGTTACATAAGTGTTTGGTCTGCATGCTTTTAACTTGGAAGCATTTGAACCTTTCTTCCCAGCTTGCATAACAGGAAAAAGGGCAGTTTTCCTGAATGCATTGTGCCCGGACTCTCATTGGTTCGTTCCTCTTAAAGAATATATTCTTCTTGTGGTGCACAGCATATTTAATTAGGGCACTCTTAAATTGAATGTTGTCCTCAAATAGCATCCCAGGCTCAATATCAGGAGGTTCACTCTGTGGGTTGTATGAAGGATGATGGTCTTTAAGCTTGGACTCCACTTCATCTTCATTCATACCTGAGGCATCTGAAACATAGCTTGGTGGGTTATCAGAAGGGTACAACATCATGCTATCTTCATAGTCCTCATCCTCTTCCTCATGCACAGACTCTTTATTCTTCTGTGGTCTTGTCCCCAAAACCTCCTCAGTATCAGAACCATTGTCATTATCAGAACCATCTTCATTACTGAGAGGAGGGTCTTCTTGGCTCTCCAAATCTTCATCATCATCAAGTGTCTGAATTTCAACATCACAAAGCTCAAGAGTGTCAGCCATCTCAGTTCCAACATTGTCATTTTGATCCATAGCACTAACACCAGTGTCAGTTGCAGCCCTCTCAGGTTGATTGCCTGAATCTTTCTTTCTTCTTGCTTTCAACTTCTTGGTCCTTTTGATCCTCACAACTGCATCAACACATGTTTGCCTTTCCACTTCATGCAGGCCTCCATCACAATCACCAATCCGGTCAACTGAACTTCCTTGGTGATCAACACAGTTGGAAGGTTTAAGCAAATACAATTCACAAACTCCAGCAGAGGACAACCTCACCATGTCCAATGTGGTAGCATCATCACACAACTCCCTTAAAGACTCTAAGGGTTCACAAGGCAGTTTATACATAAGCTTGCCAAATCCCCCAAATGGTCCTGATTCTATGAACTTTTTTAAATGAGGATAACTGACAACATCAGGGTCACTTTTGATAACCTCTATGTGGCCATTGGTATACTCCATAGGAGAGCATGACTCTAGGTTTCCACCATAGTATAAAATGATGTCCAATGTTTCCCACATTCTGATACGAAAAAAAAAATACTCAGCATCAATGGCTTTTACACTGACAGCATACAAGACATAAAAATAAAGGGTTCGACTATAGTAAATGCAAATTAATCATTTCAGTCACTTGGTTTATCTTAGAGCCTTCGATTCAGGGCTTCGCCTTCAACCTCCAAGTCTTCTTCCTCTATCTTCTCCTCTGCGCGCTCTGGTATGACGACTACTCGTATGACAGTTCCAACTTTCAAATTAGGGTTCGATTCCTAAACGGTAAATAGGTTTTATTATTACACGTAGACAGCTTGGACTGGGACGAATTAATGAGTCAGCATTAGATTTGGGGCAAAACTTGCTGACTGGGCATTTAAGGGGAGAAAACGGGAGGTAACCGGGTAGATGTAGGATTTGAACAAAAAAAGGGGGATGGTGGGCCTGATCGGAGGTTATTTGGGTTCGGGGTGCGAATTGCGCAATTCAAATACGTTCAGGGGCCTATTTGACCCTTAATGAATGATGGCACGATCCAGACAAAAAGTGTCTGGTCGTGAGGAGGGGTGTTAAATGTCCCACACCGGAAAAGTTTGGATGAACAAAGTGCTATATTAACACATGGGCTACTCCTCCTATCAGGTTGACCTTTTAGGATGGAACCCCGGGTCTTAACAGAGGCGGAAAACAGTCGATGTAAAAACATCCTTATTCCTTGGTAAAACTTTCAACATTCTTAACACAGGACCAATTGAGATATATGTGCGAGTTACTTTAATTAGTTTTTTCTATTTAGGAGGCCTTGTATTTTCTGGATATGTACGTTTAAAAATACTTTTTGTACAAGTCGGTTTACATGTTAAATGTTTTTTTTGTTAGTGTAAAGACGATTTATTTTCATTTTAGTAAGGGAAAATGTATGTGATCCCGAAAAAATGAATTGTATGTCCCGAGATAGTTACTCTTAAATGTCATTTAGATACAGTATTGTCAACACAAATCAACACAAGTCCTTAATCGCGCACTTTGTCCTCAATCATGCGTGCTCGAAAAAACTTCTCAGGAGTCACTTATTCTAAGATTACTCTGGTGCAAACACGGTTAACTTAGAGTTTTTAGCACGCGAACTCTCTTAAAAGGAGATGCACCTTATTTATATGAGGATGTTTTCTTTTGGACTGTTTTCAGTCCCAGACCAGACCAGACCAGACTTAAACAGACCAGACCAGACCAGACTTAAACAGACCAGACCAGACCAGACCAGACCAGACTTAAACAGACCAGACCAGACCAGACCAGACTTCCGTAGTTATAAAATACACAGAGACCAGACGTTTACCAGACCAGACCAGTTCAGACCAGACCAGACCAGACCAGACTTAAACAGACCAGACCAGACCAGACCAGACTTAAACAGACCAGACCAGACCAGACCAGCAAATTTCAGTCCAAAAGAAAACATCCTGAGTAGTAATTTCATTCATTTTTATGTTAGTCTTAAGTAATAAATAAACATTTGTTTTTAAAAAACCAGATTATTGTTTTAGATTAGCTTGTATCTTTGCACGTTAACTAATTATTGACGTGTCATGCTACACGTTTTATATGAGCTTCATTGGTCTTCAATCATCATTTTATACTCCTTCATCCCACAGTTCAAGTATGATTTACACGTAATGTAACAAAATAAAATTTGTATGGTGAAATTTGTTCAAATTAGAGAAAATTAATTTCACCATATATTCTTGACTTTAAATCAAAATGACAATTTTATTTTAAAACGACTAAAAGAGAAAAAATGGCCAACTTTAATGAAACAGAGGAAGTATAATTTTTTGGGTAGAAAATTACATATATGGTCTCTCAGTTATCCACAAAATTAAAATCTCATATCTGTATTTCTGAGATTGTAAATGTCACCCCTCAATTGTCCAAAATGTTGTAAATGTGATCCTTTTAAGGGGTGAAACATACAATGTGAGCGAGAATACATTTCACTACTTAAAGGACCACATTTACAACAATTTGGACATTTGAGGGGTGACATTTACAATCTCAAAAATACAGGTCTGAGATTTTAATTTCGTGGATAACTGAGGGACCATATATGCAATTTTCCCTTTTTTTAGATAAACTTACGAGTTACTAGTGTATCGATCTGTGTGTTCACGACCAAATTCGCTTAAAATATACTACCTTTGTCCGATCGTCTCCCTAAGATTGGGACAAGAGGGGGTTGTGCGATTTTTTCTAAAAAAGTAGAATTGTGTAGTTATTATTGAATCAATAAAATAAGAATTAATTAGAATCACACAAATATTATCAAAACATGTGATAATTTTAGTGGCATAAACGAAAAAGAGAGACAATCATAATGGGGTGTGGCCGTGTGGGTAATTCATTTGAGAAATAAAAATCTTTTTTTAGTACTCCCTCCGTCCCATAATTATCTTCATTCTTTCCTTTTTTGTCCGTCCCAAATTTATCTCCTCTTTCCTTTTTTAGCAAAGGATTTGTGGTTCACAACCATTCTTACACATTTCTCTCTCCTCTGCACAACTCTCCACCACACATTTCCCACTTTCTTAATCTCCGTGCCCAGTCAAAACCGAAGTTAATTCTGGGACGGAGGGAGTATACAATGAAGTTGAAAGTATGAAAAATTGTATAGGAACGAGATGATTTATAACATAGAGGGCGTTTGGAGCACCCAAAATGGGCTGATAAGCCTTAAAGTATAAAAAAAATGCCAAACACTAGCTGAATTTGCTGTTTGGGCTGATTTTTATTATCAATTCAAAAAACAACTGTTTACTTACTTTTTCGGCTGATTCTTATTACTTTGTTGTTGGTGACCAAAAAGACTTGTTTTACCCTTCTGTTATACCTGAAAGAACGTTGGATACATATCTAAAGTCATCAAGTCAACACATCCATCTGCCGTTGCATGTAGTTTCGATGAGTTGTTTGGTGCTCTGGAGTATGGTGTTAAATACTACGTACTTTACTGTGCTAAATAACTCCAATAAATACGTATGTGTACTTTTTGTTTTGTTTTTATTTTAATTTCAATGCATGTGAGCTTTTTAATGCTCCATATAATTTATTGAAAGTGTATTTTTTAAATTAATTTACACATGTTACTAATGTCACTCATTCAGAAAAATTTGATGTCATAAGTTAAATAAGCAAAATTAATTTACTAACAAAGATCATACCCATATATTTAACACAAACAAGCTAATACCCTTTATAGTAATTTTACACTCAATCAGCCATTTCAGTCAACATATTACCAAACACTTTCACTTTAACAGATTAAGTCTTTTCAGTCTATTCAGCCTATTCAGCCGTTGCAACCGTTATCAAACGGCCCCATATACTTCCTCCGTTCGGTTATAAGTGCAACATGCACTTGGGCACCAAAACCAAGACACCAAGTAAAAGTTTTGTACATCACGATTTTACCCTTTGAAAGTACGAAAAAGGCAGCCACAAAGAAATGAGTGCTACAGTAAACAACAGTGGAAAGAAAACAGTACGCCCTGGTGTACTTTCACCTTCGCCCGCCTAGCCAGCTGCTCATCGGAAGACCCCTCTCGAATCTCACCTAACTCCGATCAGCGTGCCATCTCACCTCGGCGTGAAGCCATCACAACAATCCCTCATCCGCTTCCGCCAATCGTCATCCCAGGTAAACGATGATTCGGTTGCCGTAGCAGCCGGCCGCCACCTAGAGGCGACCATTACCACCGTGTCTCATAACTCGTGCCTCGTGGGGGAGTAACAACAACAAAATCGGTTTCATGTCCTTCCATTTCTTCCACTTCGATCGTAATTAAAATCCAAATCAAAGAAAAGGAAAAAAATGAGGGAGATGATGGGCAAGAAACGGAGAAATAGCTGAGTTGGTGAAGATACTCACAGATGAGTACATACACGAATGGAAGAAGAAGTTGTATCAAGCAGAATGAAATCTGCGGGTGGGTGGGTTTTGGGTGGTGAGAAAAGAAATTAAAGAAGATTTTAGAATAAGGTAGGCCGTAAAAATGAGGGGTATAGAAGTCCTTTTGTTCAATATTTCCTTCCTAAAATAGAAAGGTTGCATTTATTTTGAAACTGCCGAAAAAGGAAAGTGTTGCACTTATTTAAGAACGGAAGAAGTACTTAGGAAATTAAAAAGATATGTGTAGTATTTATCTGTTATGCTATCTGTTGGAAAATGTGTTAGTAAATTGCATTAAATGGTCATTTTGGGGCAATTTTTTGAGT